CGGTTTCAAGGACTTATCTTGTGTTTGCACCACCCAATGCCAGTTTGCATTCCTCTGTGTAACTCCAACATTGCACAAATGCCTGTATACACCGATGTAACATAGATGGTTTTCTAAATTTTCATTGTCCGTGGGTTATGAACTCCCAATCTACCACTTGGGGGGTTGACAACTTATTCACTTCACTAAGTTGCCACACCCTTAATGCCAATTCTTTATTTTAACTAATTAAATTATTTATTAATTAATCAGGCTTAATCTGTGCTAATTCTTAAAATTAATTTAACTTAATTTAAATTTTTTTATTAAAATATAATAGATTTTTTTTATAAAAACCTATAATAGACTATAAATAGTCAGAAGATCTCTTATTTATTGGTTGTACTTTTATTTGTAATCTGTCATATTTTTTTTTGACTAAAACAAAAAGATTTTTATCAAAAATGTTTACCTTATATTATATTATATTATATTGCACATATTGTATAAGTAAAATGTATTTGCATACATAATTCAATTTGCATAAACCTCCTGTAATTTTTTTATCATACTCAGGTTATATTTATAATTTTTTCTTATATCATATAATCATCTAATTAAATTAAATAAATAATATATATAGATGTCTTAAAATTAATCTGCATAAAATTTAAATTTTTTTTTTCTGAATAAGTTATTATTTGTTTTTATTTTTTAAAAATAAAATAATATTCTTTGTTTGTAAAAAAATATATAATAAACTTTTTATAGACCTGCTTTTTTCATTTTCTAATTAAAACTTTATATTTATAGAATGCTTTCTGTTTTATAATATGCATGCATGTTTTTATTAGAATGATACATTATATAAAGCATGCTTTTATATCACTTGTATTTGGTATTCATTACTTTCTAATTTTTTATTGTCAAATAAATAGTATTATTATTTTTACAAAGTATTAAAGATTAATATTAATATTTTATTTTTTTAGTATGTTTTATTATGTATAGAAATAATAAATAAATATATATATATATACTTATAATCTATAAAATATTTGTTCTAACATATAACCAATTAATTGCTATTATCTAATTGGATGTGAATCAAAATTTTAACAAACAGAATCCTGACAGGTTATAATTCTAACAAAAAAATTTTGACAGTCAAATATTCAGACAATTAAAAATTCTAATAGCAAGAATTTTTAGATAAAAAATCCTAACTATAAAATATGTTTAAAGTGAAATAAACTCTTATATTTTAATTAATATTAGAGTTAGGTTATTTTAGATAATGGTTAAAATAGAGTTTGCTATAGTCTATGAAACTTTTTATCAGAGTTTTTTTTTTATTTTTTTTATTTTTATTTATATAATATCAGAGTAGAAACTTTATAAGTACATAAAAGAATTTTTATACTAAAGATTTCTAACTACATTTGTGCTACTTAATTAAGAATATTCTTTTAAAATACCCAATATGACATTACAACTCCTATTTTCTAATAAATGCTATGATCAATTAATTTATCAATTTTTAGCTAAAAAAGATTAGAGGAGATCTAAGATGTTTGTCTTATTATTATATAAAGCAAGAAGTTAGTAAATAATCTTGAAAGAGCCATTTTTTAATGGCAGAAAAATTGTTATTAAGTTGAATTGTAGTTGAGTTTGTATTAGATAGTGGAGTTATAGTAGGTAAAAAGACTCTATTGCATTTACTTTTAAAGATAATATTATGGGTAGTTTCTTATTGATATTGTGCAATGTTATAAGAGAACCAGATTTTGTTAAAGAACCAGGATAGAAAATTGTTGGATAAGTTTTTAAGAAGGAGTGTAGTTTTGTTTATTTATAAGTATTTTAATATTGTCAAAAGTTGTATTGGATATTATGCCAATGAGTAGGTTTAGAATATGTGATATTGTGGATTAGTTGTATTGAGTATAAAATGAAATATTGTATTTAGAAAGGTAAATGATAAGATAGATGAAATATTAAGTGTTGTTAGAGTATTATCAATCATATTAAGAAGTATTTGTTGTATATCTAAATTGTTTTTGTTACATTGCAGTATATGTAAAGTATCTTCTATATTAGAGCATTAATAGCAAGTTGGAGTAGTGTATAGGTATGGGTAGCATATATATATGTTATTGTTCATAAAGTAGACAATAACTGATTTATTCTTAGGTTCTAATTATATTTCTATACTTTTCTTTTAATTAAAAGTAATGTAATTTATACAATTTAAACTTTATATAAAAAGAATTTGATTAAAAAAAAAAAATTCTTAAATTGAAAAAACTTTCATTATGTTAAGTTTATTTTAGTTTATGAATTAATTGAAGAGAATACTATATCAAATATGTCAGAACATGAAAGTATTAACACAACTGAAGACAATATTCAACAATACTTAAAAAAATCTAAAATTAAAAATACTGATTCTTGTATACAAAAATGGGTTCGAATTTTACAAGACCATTATAAGAAAAAAAATATATCATATAAAATCCAAACATTAGTAAATAAAGAACAACTTGAATTGAACTATGTGAATTTTTTGCTGATATTAAATAACAAAATAGAAAACATTATAAAGTCAAATCAATTGTATTAACTTATACTTTTCTTTAATGTTTTTTATTTGAGTTCTTTTGCAAATTAAAATTTATTGAAGTTATTGTTATAGTAATTGTCTGGTACTGTTCAATAGAATTTTAACTGTTTATAATTTAAAAAAAAGAATTGGCCCAATTTAAAGAATTCTAAATAATTTTACTTCAAAGCATTGACAATTCTAAATAATTTTACTTCAAAGTATTGACACTTTTAAATAATTGTCAAAAACTAAATTGACACTTTTAAATAATAAACTAGATCTGAACAATTTTAAATGCACATAATTTGAATAAAGTATTTAACCTAGTTTTGATAATTGGTATATGTAGTTATAGCCTAAAAAAAGTTTTGGTCCAGTTTAGAGAAATTAAAAACTCTGGATCAGCTCGAATCTGGAATCTAAACAATAACTATAAAAAAAAATATAGAAATATAAATAAAAACTAAAGAATAAATTTAAGTTTTGCATAATAAATAAGTTATTTATTAGAATTTTGATAAGAAAGAAGTAAAGTTGTGGATTATGTTTCAAGAAGTTTAATATTTTAAACATTAGAAACCATTCAATATTAGGTATATTATTAAAGAATTTAAGTGATGACCATATGTTAAATTCATTAATTGTAATAATATTTTTAACAAATATTGAATTTTGAGAGGAATGAGATGATTATTCTATAAGAAATATATAGATAGATTAAAAAAAAAGTGTTGTATTTTTAAAATAGGTTTGTTAGTGCCTTGTTTTGCTAGTGAGTCACTTGATTGTGAAATGAGATTTAACTTTAATAAGGTTAAGATTAATATTTTTAATTGTTTTTAGAGAGTTAATTCTAAACAGAATGTTCCAGTTTTTTTGTTGGATTAATTTGGTTAAGGTAAATGAAGTAAGATTTTTAATAGCTGTTAGATTGTTAATATAAATATTAAGTAAGATATTAAAGAGTATAGCAAGTAGAATAGATATAATTAACATTAGTTCTATGTAAGTAGAATCAGAAGAGAGTTGAGTTGCTGCATTGAATTTGATAGAAGTATTTTCTTTACAAATCTATCTGATATCAGACCTTATAAAAGGTGTTTTTAGATTTTGAATAGAAGCATCTGTATAGAAGTTGAGTTCAGTTAGATATAAATTTTGTAAAAGAGAGTTAAGGTTGATAAGTTGATTTTGATAGTTGGTAAAATTAGTAGTTTGTTGTATAACTTGAATATCCTAAGTGTTTAAGTTTATTTGAAGAAGTAATTAGATAGAAGGTGATATAGTAAAGTTGGTAAATATGTGGATTAGGGCCAAAATTTCTTTATAGTTAATTTGTAAAATAAGAGAATTATTGTGGGTTTTAATTTGATAATAAAGAAGATTAAAACAGTTAAAATTTGTTAGTGATAGTGAGATAATTGGTTTTAGATATATTTGGTTTGTAGAATAGTTGTCTATTGTGTAGTATGAAGAAGGTTAAATATTATTATATTGTGAAAAGATAATATTAGAGTTATTTATATAGTATAATTAAAAAAATAAAAAGTATTAAAGGTTAGATAGTGTATAAAAAAGGTTTAATAAGTTTAAAAAAGAATTAATAGTTGGTAAATTTGGATAAGGCCAAATAGCAGAAATTGTATTATTATATGCAATTTGTTAAATTAGAGTAAACCAAGAAGGTTGATGACCTTTTATTGGTTTGTTTGTTCATAGGTATATATTGCTCCAGGAAAGGAGATAAAGGTTATTAGCAGAAGTGATTTGTTCAAAATAGAGAATTTTATTGTTTTTAAAACTATTGAGCATTGAGATAGATGGGTTTGAAGAGAGTATATCATATATTAGGTGGGAATTAGTTAATAGTGTTGTGGTGTTATTAGTAATTTGTATAATATTGAAGAGTATAATATTGTTTTTTGTAAGTTGTGAAAGATGAAATATTAAGATATAGTTATATGTTTTATGATAGTGTTTAATAAGTATATTAGTTAATAATTTAGGATACATATTTTGGTCAACCATGATTTAATGCAAATAGTTTCAATATTGTAAAGAAGTATATTAGAATTAAAGATCCATTCATACAAACTTTTTGAATGATGTTGTTAAGTATTAAAAAATTGAAGATAAGTGGGTTAGTCAAAGTAATATTATTAGTATTTTTTGCTAAAGAGAACATCTTTTTTGTTTGAATAGAAAGTATTCTTAAAAGTTTGGTTTGATTTGATGTATTAATAATAGTAATTTGAAGAAAATATTCAAATGAAGGTTGTAAAACAAAATTGGAAAGAGAGGATATTTGGGATAGTGCAAGTTTCTTGTATTTGATGAGTTGAAAGAAGTTTTCAATTTTGTTGTTAATCATGTCCATAGTAGGTTTAGTTGTACCATTTCTATCATAATATATTCCAAGATACCTAATTATATCTTTGAATTTTCTTGGTACAATTGGTTAGTTGTTAAGGAATAATAGAAAGGAGAATATGTTGCAAGATTTTGTATATATATGTAGTAGGTCTGATTTATTTAGGTTGATTTCAATGTTATTAAGTTGATATAATAGGGATGTATCATTAAGAATATTTTGTAGAATTTGTAGATCTTTACAGTGCCATACTGTATTATCCATAAAGGTGAAAGGAGGTATAGTAATAGATGTAAGTTTGTTATTTTGTATAAGATCTTTTGGTGATAATGAGAATATATAGAGTAGATAGTTATGATATTTTTGTGAGATGAAGAATAAAATAGAATTATAGTATATTTTTTATAATAATAAAGAGTATGTTTTTCTTTGTTCTATATCAGATTTTAGATAAAATGGATTTGAGAGTCTATAAGCTGTGATGACTTTTGCAATTTGGTTTGTATATAGTTCTGTGATTAGATCTATTTCTTTTTTTAAAATACTAATTCTTTTACAGAAGTCCTGAAGTCAGAGAATATTGATTTTGTTAAATATTTTTGATATGTCTTGAAAAAGAATCCAGGCTTCTTTATTATGAAGTTTGTAGTATTTGAATAGAAATGTAAGTAGATGAGTTTTTGGTAATAGCAAAATTGAGATCTGAAATTAGGTTATTGGATGAGATAATTTTGTCTAAGTGTTTTTTTAAAAGGTTTGATGATGGATATTGGACAAACTTGATTAAAGGTAAAATTTCAGTTAGATTTTTTTAGAATTAAAAAGCAATTTGAAAATTTTCAGACAATAGGTACTTTTTGTAATTGATGGTATTTGTTTATGAATTGTTGAAAAAGTTTTTGGAATTGAAAGCTGGCATATTTGATATGTTTATAGCAAATCTCAGAAGGATCTGCAGCTTTTTGGTTTGGTAAGTTAGTAATAGTATTATTTCATTCTTGGTTTGTTTTTTCTTGGAAAAGGTTTTGATAATAAGTTTCAAGTTCTGAATGTAATTGATATAGTTTATAAAATTCACAGAATGAGAAAATTGTAGATAAGAGTTTTTCATTGAAGTATTCAGTAAAGTGTTATTGAATTGCAGAACAGATTTTACTATGATTAGTGAGGAGTATATTATTTAGTAATAACTGATTTATGTATAAACTATGTTGTTTTTTAAAGATTTTTTTGTAGAAGAGTTTAGAAGAGTTTGTATAAAGGTGGTTATATTCTTTTATTTTTTGTTTAATATCTTTATAAATTATTTGTTATTGATGATAGTTAAGAGCAGTTTTAACTTAAATAAATTTATTTTTAATTTGATCAAGAGAGGGTAATATTATTTGCAAGGAATTATTGAGATATTCTGTTCAGTATTTTTGAAGTAAAGAGTAATAGTTTAAAGAGTTAAAGTAGTTTTTAGATATTGGATTTGTTTGTATTGATAGAATAGAGGTTGTAGTTTAGAAGAAGGGTTGTTATTAATTTCAGACATGGTTTTAATATTTTTAAAAAGAATATGTTTTGTTACAACTTTGGTTAAAGCTTTGTTAATTTTGTTCCATACAAGGTTAAGTTGGTTTTGATTTGTTATAGAAGCAATCTGAGAGGCAATTGGTAATATGTTACAAGTAGTTTGGTTTGCATAATTTTTCGGAATTTTTTTAGTAGTATTTTCTAAAAAAAACATCTTTTTTTTTGTTATTTAGTTGGTTTTGATTTGTTAAAAATAGCAGATATTTTAATTGTAATTAAATAATAATTTGAATCTAGTTGGTATATAGTAATTATATCTGTATAATTGATATTTGTTAAAAATAGATTAGACCAGATTTGGTCAATTCTACTTTGTATATTAGATTATTAAAATGTATAATTTTTGGTATTAGAAAAAAAAATCAATAAAGATCTTTGTATTGGGAACTAATTAGAAATTTAGTTAATTGTAGTTTAGAAATTAAGGTTTTTTTGGAAGATAGTTAATTGATGTGAAGGTTTAAAATACTGTTAAAGTCTCCTATAATTATTATTTTGTAATTTGGATTTTGTAAAAAGAAAATAAAATATATTCTTGAATGTCTTTGCAAACTTGTTTCTTTTCAGCTGTAGGAATATAAATCTGAAGTAATCTTAATGAAAAATTTTTAAGATGTAGGTCAAGTTCAACAATATGTTCTTTATAGTGCGAGTGCAAGCAATGTATTTAGAGATGTTTTTGTAAATAAAGATACTAACTCCTGCTTGGTGTGTGTTTGAATAGGAGCTCCAAACACTTGTATAATTTTTAGTTTGGGCATTAAGAAATTTTCTGGTTTTACTTGAAAAATGTGTTTCAGATATACTTAGTATATTAAAAGAGTTGTTGTTTAAAAAATCTATTAAGAAAAGTTTTTTTGAAGGTTGGATCAAACCATTGATGTTTATAGAGCCTATTTTAATTAGAATTGAGATATGATCAATGTTAATAGTGTTGAGATTAGAGATATTATTTGCAGTAGAATTTGTATTCTATGAGAAAAATATGTTAGTAATAGATGTATAAAAGTTGAGATTTATATTAGAGTTTGGGTTTTCTAAGGTTAAAGTGGTGTCATTTTTTTGTGTT